ACATTCTTTCCTTTCTTCTCAATATTCTCTCCTTTCAATCTTGTTTGTTTTCAATGGTGAAAAAAAGTTAAAGATTGTTTCAAATGGTCTATTTTTTCTAACATTAAACAGACTGGAAAAAAAAAAGTATTCTCCTTTATTGAGAAACTAGAGGCCAATTAAAACTATAAAATCGGTCAGCCAATAAACAGAGAATAAAAATCGTTCTGCAAAGGGTAATAAATTAGAAATGGGTATTTGTTACATAGCTGATAACCCTTAGGCAGAGGGAGATGCAAACATGCCACCTACTTTGCACTTAAATGGAACATTAATAAGAGTCAGAGCTACTTAAGGTCTGGAAAGTCCATTGTCCCACAATTAGAATTCCCCCAGAGTTACTTAGTCCTTGGGAAAGGATTCCCTTTATATGAAGCTTTGACCCTGGAGCCCTGCGGGTATACATACCAGTAAGGGACTGCCCCTCTTCCATACCTAGGCTATCCACTGTTAGGAAGGCAGAACAGAGACTGTGTGCTTGAAAGGCAACTAAAAGAGTCCTTCCTCTGTATCCCCATGGATCAAAAATTGAATTTCTACAATCTATCTTTCTAACAGACATTAACGATTTTTGACCAGACAACTTGGGCCTTTCACCAGTTTTAGAGCTACAGAGGAGGAACAACAAATGGAAAATAATATTATGTATTTATGTTTGTACTTGTTGAATTTAATACAAAATAGTTTAAAACAATCCTGGAAGTCCCCCAATCTTTTTCCTTGCAAACATGGTCTGAACATTACTCAGTACTGAGAAAAACAAATTGCCCTGGAGAATGCCTCACTGAGGATATACCTGGGATGCACACAACGTTCCTAATTCCTTCATCTTCAGATCCCAGAGGCCATGACCAACACTAAAGAGAAAGAATTATTTTTTTTTCTTTTCTTTTTTTTTTTTTAAGATTTTATTTATTTATTCATGAGAGACACAGAGAGAGAGAGAGAGAGAGAGAGAGAGAGAGAGAGAAAGAGGCAGAGGGAGAAGCAGGCTCCCAAGGAGCAGGGAGCCCGATGTGGGACTCGATCCCAGGACTCTGGGATCATGACCTGAGCCGAAGGCAGACGCTTAACCATCTGAGCCACCCAGGCGCCCGAGAAAGAATTCTTAATCTGTGGGTTTGGGGTGAATTTCAACCTACCCCATAGAGAAGATCAGCTCTATTTTATCTTTCTATTTTGGCTTTCTTAGTACGATTTTATTTAAAACTCTTGAATTTGTTCTTAAACAAGAGGAATACATCATACTGTCTTGTTACTTCTAGAAAAGCTTGGGCCCCCTGGCTTAGAATAAGCAGAAGAGAATAGAGCAATAAACTTTAAGGGTTAACCTCAAAAGGGGAAGCTCCCAGATGAAATCATCCCCAAGTGCGAGATAATTTTGTGGAAGAACTAACCTAAACAAGATGCATTTTTGTCCTCTGATAACACTACTCTTTAAAGTGGGCATGTAGAGGGTGCCTGGGTGGTTCAGTCAGTAAAGCGGCTGCCTTTGGTGTAGATCATGATCCCAGAGTCCTGGGATCGAGCCTGCATCAAGCCCCAAATTGAGCCCCCCATCAAGCCCTGCATCAACTCCCTCGGCCTGCTGTTGCCCTTGCTTGTGCTCTCTCTCTCTGTCCAATAAATAAATAAAATCTTAAAAAAAAAAAATAAAGTGGGCATGTAAGATTTGCTTTGCTAAATGAAATCAGAACAATAGTGTCTTTTTTTTTTAAGATTTTATTTATTTATTTGAGAGAGAGAGAATGAGAGACAGAGAGCACGAGAGGGAAGAGGGTCAGAGGGAGAAGCAGACTCCCCGCCGAGCAGGGAGCCCGATGTGGGACTCGATCCCTGGACTCCAGGATCATGACCTGAGCCGAAGGCAGTCGCTTAACCAACTGAGCCACCCAGGCGCCCCCAATAGTGTCTTTTTAAACAAGGTAGAATCCTTTGTTTTAATCTCATTTATATACTTGCATTAAATCAGAGAATTAAATTCCTTAAACTTGCCTCTCATTCAGTGTTACAGGCTTTTCTATAATTCAATGGAACAGATGCCATTTTACCTTTTAAGACCCTCAGGACACCTGTAGTAGCTAGTTATGGAATTGTTCTCCTCCCGTGCTTTCCTAGCAGCTAGCATTTCATGCACTTACTTCCTTTGCATTTGAGAATGACCAGATTTGGAAAATGACAAATGGAAATGCTTTGCTATTCAAAGAGGAATCCTTTGGAATTTCTAAGCAACAAGGGATGCTTTGAGATGAGTCTATGGCAAGAACACAAAAGTTCTATTGATGAATTGTTCATTCTTGCAGTCATATATTTGTCCCATTCCATTTGAAGATGAACTACTTATGAAACATTTTGCTAGGCTCTGAGGATGAGACTGTGACTTGGTCCCTGCTCTCCTGGAGTTTGTGGTCTAAGGGGGCAGAGAACCACTGCATAAGTCATTATAAAACGAAATATATAATTACAAAGTAGGGTGAATACTATGAAGCAATAGTTTAGGGTACAATGAGAATGTAGCACAATCGTTTTATACTAATTTTTGGGAATCATGGAGTAATCTGAGTTACTGGCCCTCCTTAAGTAAGTTCATTTTCCCCTCCAGCTAATCATGGATTGGGTAAAGATTCTTAAAATTTTATCTTCAATCTAGATTTCTCTATATACCTGAGTGTTTATTTGACTTCCTTGTTTGTCTGACTCAAACCTAGGTTATCCAAAATGGGACCATGATCTTTCTGCTCAAGCCTGGTCATCTTTCACAGTTCCGTGTCTCAGTGTATTGCCCTACCATGGACATTACTTGAGGAGTTCCATCATTTAAAGGGTAGGGAGAGGAAGTTAGTTGGCCAAGGAGATTGAAGAGTGGCCTGATGTCAGGGGCAGATCTGTCTTGAAGCTGGTGAAGCTTAAGATTCTGGGTATTTGTCAGGGATGCCTGGCTGGCTTAGTTGGAAGAGCATGTGGATCTCGATCTCAGGGTTGTGAATTTGAGCCCCACGTGGGGTGTAGAGATTACTGAAATAAACAAAACTTAAAAAAAAAAAAAGATTCTGGGTCTTTCTTTTGCCTGAGAGGAGCCCTAGCAATGTGTTTACATGGTCACATATTTCTGTCAAGTTTTCATAAGAAAGATATCTTTTTCTTTTCTTAAAGCAGAGCCCCAAATAGTGTAAGCTTCAGGTCCCACACACTGCCTGTTCAGTAAGAAGAAGGAGCAAAACTGAGGGTGTGATTGTATGGAATTATGGGGTGGGGGGCAACACTTCAAGAGAGTGTTCAATAGTTACGAATGCATCTGAGAAGACAGAGAATATAGGGAAAGAAACAATTCCACTGGATTTAGTTAAGGGGAGATTATTGGTGTCTAGCAAAAGCCCTTTCAGTGCAGTGATGGGGCAGGAACCCAAGATGCAGGTGCTTGATGTCAAGAAATTTAACTGTGAAGAAAAGAGGAGAAAATGTAACTGGGGAGAGGTGGGCTGGGGAGTAATGTTATTGCCTGCTGGCCTTCCTCTGTCTCTCTGTCTCTCTCTCAATGGGGAGAGTTGAGAGTGCTGACTGAGAGGTTACACAAGACAGAGATGTGTTGAAGATACAAGGGATGAGTTTTCCCTTCATCCTAACTTCACTTTCATTTTCCAAAGACCCAGAGGAGATGAATATCCACAGATGCTAAAGAAATCTAGTGAGTGCTTTTATTTCCCCAGTAGGCAAAACTACACTGATGCCTATGTTTGAGAAAGCACAGTGGGTCTTGGACTGAGGACACTCTCTCCACCCAGGGCACTTTAGCTCATTTTACTCCCAGTCATTTGCAGACAACTGATCTATTTTGAAGCTTTCTGAAAATATCCATTTAATAGCTCAAATCAGCTTCCCTCTGGAGCCTTGTATGTTTTAAAAACTGTATTTCCCCTTAAATAGTTGGTGAATATTGGAGAAATACAAGGACTTTTTTTTTTAGTAGGCAAAAAATTTTACAAGTCTGCCAAAGAAATCAGAACTTTTACTTCGGATATTAAAAGAAATTCTTGTAAATATTTTAAATTGGACTTCTGAGTATCCTTTGATGTATACCCTAATACTAGATGTATGTATTGTGAGAGGAAGCAATTTTCTTCGCAGAAAAGATTCCTGGGACTCAGGAATTGAGGGTATCAGAAACACAATCTTAAATGGCACAAAATAGAAATGAATATGTTTCTCCTGGCACCGTGCAATTCTGAACGCTTCTTTCATGTTTATTGTTTCCGTCTTTTAATTGGATATGTCTGAGAAGCACATTAATGTTCTAAAAGTTACCTAGAATGTGAGATTATCAAGCCCCACTCCCCATGCCTCCTCATTAAAGTGCTTCTCATCACCTTCCCATACCACTTAAATAAGTTACCTGTACAGAAGGCATCCACAAGGCAGTCCACATAATGAAAAAAAAAATTAAGTCCTCAAAACTAGAAATAGCGGCTACCCGTTCCCACAGGTTGCCAGATTTAGAAAGGAAAAATACAGCCCTCCCCCAGGTTAAATTCGAATTTCAGATAAATAATGAACAATTTTTCAGCTTAAGTATGTCCCAAATAAAGCACGGGCCATACCTGGCCAAAATAATTATTCCTCGTTATTGGACATTCCTATTTAACGGGGCGCCCTGTATTCCCCCAAGGCAACCTCACAGAACCCACGCCCCGCACCCCAAGCCCAGCGGCCGCGGAGCTAGTTTAAAACCCAGGACCCGCGGGCTGGGCCGCGCCCCCTGATTGGCCAAGGCGCGCCCGCCGCCCCGCCGGCCGCAGGCGTCACGCAGCCCCGGCAGCCCCGGCCCCGCCGCCGCCGCCGCCGCCGCCGCCTCCGCCGCCTCTTCCTCGGCGGCCCCGGTCGGCGCAAGTGCGGCGCGCGCGGGGGGAGGGGGCGCGGCGGAGCGCGAGGCTGGCGTCGGGCCGCCGCCGGCCGGGCGGGATTAAGTTTCTCGGTCGCCCGTGAGTGTCTGTGCGCGTTTATCCCGAAGCTCCTCGCCGGGCCGTTACTTCAGCAGAGAAGAGGGCGAGCGGGAGCGAGGCGAGGCTCCCAAGTCCCCGGCGACCCCGGCTCCCCAGCCCTCCTCCCCCTCCGCGTTCCCGCCCGGGGCGGCCGCCGCTAGCCGGGTAAGCGGCGCCGGGGCCCGGGCCAGGAGGCCGGAGCGCGCCCCCGCGCTCTGCGCGCGCGCCGGCAGGGAAGGTGCGCGGGCGCTGGGGGCTAGGCGCGCGGGGCAGGCGGGCGGGCGGGGTGCGTTCGCCCCACCCCGCGCGGCCGGGCGGTACCGGGAAGCCGCTGCTCCTCTGGCTCTTTAAAAGGATGGGGTCTGGAAGTTTCCTTCGCTACTTGCATGGCCCCCAAGCGCTAGTCCCAGTCCTTTCAGCCCTCCCACCCCCCTCCCCTTTGCCCTTGCTTACTCTAAATGGTTTAAAAGTTTTTTTCTTTTTTTTCGCATGGAGGGGCACAGGGATGGTGCTGGGGAGGGGAACCGAGGGCCTGGCGCGCGGGCCGGCGCTCCGGGGCGCAGGAGCCTGTTGCTCGCCGCTGGTGTGGCCGCGCCCCGGGCCGGACGCCCCTTCCACCCTTTCGCTGGGCCAGGCGCTTGGGTCGTGGGGAGAAAGCCCCCCCCCCCCCCGCACGACTGGCGTCTGTAGCCTTGTCTGCCGGACCCCGAGCGCGCCGCTAATTGGTACCCGGCCCCCATCCCCCGCGGCGCCTGTGCCCTTTCATCCGCTGCCCCCCATGGTGGGAGCAGTTAGCTCTCGCCACCCTCTTCAGCTACCCCGCGCCTATGGGGCGCCTTTGTCTGCGATTCGCAGCGGGGGGGGATGCCGGATGTTCCTCGGGAAGCGCTGTTCGGGAGACGCTTTGTGTCTTGGGAGTTGTGTGTGTGTCAGGGGTGGTGATGGTGTAAATTTTTGCTTGCGTTCTTTGCAGAGGCACAAAGGCCGGGCTATTCTTTCCCGCAGATCACATGGAAATTCAAGCTGGGACTGCCTAATGTAGGAGGGGCCGGGCGACAGCCGGGGGGAGGGGGGCGGGTGGCGGCCGCTGCGCAGTGGCCGGGGGCGAGTCGGGGGCGGCGGGACGTCTCCCTCCGTCTCCGCGGGTGGGGCTTGCAGAGCTTGCTCGGCTGGCGAAGAACCCGAACGTGGGCGCTGCGTGCCTTGTGTGGGGAGGGGGCTGGGTGGCAGCTAGTGTTTCTTAGGTAGCATCAGATAAGAGGACTATGACTTCAGCCTAGAAAGAATACTCTCCATGTTCGTTTGATGTCCAGAGGGGAAGAATCTGAAAAAGTGTCTAGACGGTGTCACCCAGCTTTGGTGGACAGCTGTAGTGTAAACATCCCTTTTGTGTTTCCGTAGACATTCCTCATTTAGATTACCTTTAGCAGGATTAAAAGAAAAAAAAACACGGTCTGAAAAACTGACGAGGTGATGGTTTAGGGCTTGGGAGTTTTTACATGCTGAATTTGGGTATACGTGACTACAATGAACTTTTTAAAAGGGTCGAATCAACTGTGTTTAATAATATACGCTTTACCACCTCGTAGAATTTAGGTTAAAAAAACCCAACAAAACTTAAGGTTCCTAGGTTTGAGCTTCTAATACAGTGTAAAGCTCTGGGTGGATGCACCTGTGCCCTTGCCTGAAGGAGGGGCTGAGAGGGTTTAGAGGGTGGTGGAGATAATCTTGTCTGGGATGCCCAGATTTCTTGCTAGCTAATGAGCTAGTTTACAAATGGGCGGGTATATCTAGATGGGACTCTGTCCTTGCTCGGTTCATATTAGGGTCTTTGAAAGTGGAGGTCTCTAAATTTAAGGGCCATGGGCCAAATTGGCCAGCAGCAGCCTGTTTTTCCTTCAAAGTGTAGGAGTTAGAAGTGTTTTATGCATTTTTATATGGTTAAGAAAATCAAAAGAATATATCATGGTATGTGAAAATTATTTGAAAATCAAGTCTCAGTGTGCATAAGTAGAGTTTTACTGGCACAAGCCACACTCATTCCTTTTGTGTGTGGCGGATTCTTACTGTCTTTGATTGCTTTCACAATAGCAGTGGGAGAGTTGAGTGGTTGCATAGTTGAGACATGGCTGTATAGCCTTCAAAGTATGGAATGTTTACTCTTTTTCTTTACAGAAAAACTTGCCAACCTAGAGCAGGCTTTAAAAGTATTGCTTAGGGTGCCTGCGTGGCTCAGTTGGTTAAGCGTCTGCTTTCCGCTCTGGTCGTGATCCCGGGGTCCTGGAATTCAGCCTGGGGTCAGGCTCTCTGCTCATGGGAAGTTTGCTTCTCCTTCCCCTCTGCTTTCCGCTCCGCCTACTTGTGCGCACGCTCTCTCCCCCCACCCCTTTCTCGCCCGGTCAAGTAAATAAAATCTTAAAAAAAAAAAAAGTATTGCTTAAATGCCCCCTCTTTTGATGGGTGCATTGTTTAATTTCATTGCCTTTTACGCTGTTTCTGGTGTCCCCTGAACTGGTTGAGTTTTCCCCAGTAGGTAGACAAATTAAGTTAATGTATTGGATTTTCCCATTTCCAAGTTTCACTCTCAAAAAGATTTCTTAACCTTTTGGCATCTTTGTCAGAATCTAGGATAAAGTGGGTTTTCTGATTGGCAGAAATTACATGCTTAGTTACTTTAAATTTAATATAGATAGCCACATTTCAAGGTGTTCTGCAGTGAGTTCTAGTGACTTCTTGCCGCCCTGCTACTTGAGCAGGTTTGAGAATTATAGTTTTGTTTATTTAGGTAGAGAGTAGCTGGGGTTAGGGGATGTCATGGATTCCTTTTTGCAGGGAAGCACTTGAGGCAAAGCTAGTTTGTGGGGGAACTTGACTCTCCACCACTCTTCCCTAAATCTTTGCTAAAACAAAAAATGATGAAGTTTATTCTCCACATATTACTGAATTGATCACATGTGTACATGCCTTTAACATGTGTTCCTTTTCTTTCTTTAGCACCCATTGGTATTTCTTCTTTTCATTTCCCCCTCTCATTTCTGGTTTTCTTTCTCACTTTACTATACTCCTTTTATCGCCTAAGCCTGTTGCTTGTGGCTTAGGCAGAGCAAGATGTCAGTTACAGTTTTTGTCTGCTCAAATTCCTATCACATAGACGTTGTCCTGCTTGACCCTTAAAGACCTCTTTGCATTTCAGATACCTTTTAAATGCACATACATATTATGAAGGAGTGAAGGCTGTCCTCAGAGTTAACTATCTCTCTGCAAGGTGGGGGTGCTCAGATTTGTGGAAATCCTTGAAATGTAATTTTGCATTGCTGCAGGCTTTTAGCCTTCAGCTGCTGTGGTGTGGAGGCTTTGCTTTACAAACGAAGTGGACCCATTGTCTAGAGTTAAGATTAAGGGTCTTAGAAGCTGGCATGCAACAATGAATTGCCTGGAAGATAACTAACTGCCCTGAGTTAAAGGCAGATGATTTTCTTCAGATTGCCTCCCAAGTCTGACATCATAGACTTGACTCCCTTAGGTTGAGTAGCAGGTTGGCTCCATTTTGTATATTTGTAATATGTACACAGTACTTTGTGAATTTCATAAATATCTTGAAGAAAAGTTGATATATTGGACTGGAAATGTCCCCATACATGCTGGAGCAAACAACATTATCTGCCAGAGAAAGATCCTATACTTCAAAGTAAAGAAGCAGAAAACTTCCTATAGAATTGAGGACTGCTTAATGCTACATACGAATGATGATATATTTTATCATTATTATATTTCCCAAGCAGTTGTATGTGATTTTAAAATACATTTAGCCTAAAGTAGGAATTCATTTGATAGAGTTACATTGTTATGTACATTATCAACCCCATATTTGTAACAAGAAAGGTATTATTTTCTTTTGTGAAATAGTGTCATGCGTAAGAGAGCCTCTATAAACACAGTTGGGAAGTGATGGTTAGTATGGTAAAGTTGATACACTATGATTAAGTAATTATGGTGGGATTCCATGTGGGCGAATAAGAATAAGGAGATGAACTACTTCTACTTATATAATCTATTGCCTTCCTGTGAAATATTTTCTGAGTAGATCTGAGGTAGTTTTTTATTTAGTAGATAATAATAGATGGATTAGGAGGTATGTTGCATTGGGTTAAGCACTGGGGAGAACATAAAATAAGATATTGCCCTAGAAACTTACTGTCTTGGTTGAAAAAAAAATAATCATACAAAGGAAAGAATATGAAAGTTTTATACTCGGTAAAAGTTACACCATTTCAAAGAAATTAGAGATCAACAGAGGACTGCTTGCTGGCAATTTGTAGATGGCCATCTCCCTGTGTCTCCCAGTCCTATTGGAGTAGGGGAGCCCCAGTGACCTCATTTAACCCTAATTACCTCTTTAAAGACCCTGTCTCTAAATACAGCCATATTCTGAGGTACAGGGGTTAGGACCCTAACATATGTATTTTGGGGAGGTAGAGAGGACGACACAATTCAGCCTACAATGAAGTTCTTAAAGAGACCTAGGTTATAAACTGGGAGAGACCTTGAAGAATGGACTGGTGTAGGGTTAGGGAGGGAGGTCATAATAGGAGGCTCTTTTGTTAGTCTAAGCATTACTGTGGTAATTTGATGTTTGGGAAAAAATAAACTGCTATTTGAGGAAAAAGATACTTTATCTTTGGCCTGAAGCCACTTGTTTTCTTTTTCCTGGCTTTCACTGAGAAACTGGCCCTTGCTTTTTATGGACAGAGCATTATGTTAGTTTCCTTTTTAAGTGTTTCATAAAAGCATTAATTTTTAAAGATATTTCTTATATTTCTTTTAAAAATCAGTAAAACATTAAATTTGGCAAAAATGAAATGTTAATGTTTGTAAACATTTCGTCTGAAATGTTTCATCTGATTAAAACAGCAAAGCTTATTCTTTAAATTACATTGACCTGAAAACTGTATATACTATGCATGTTTTGTGAGCAAGTAGTTCGCATAATCATTTTTTCCCCCAGAAATTTCTTCTTTTTGGAAAAATTTAAGGTTAAAAGATAATTTATATTGTATGTTATAAAATAACAAAAACTTTTTTAGGCATTGAGATTAGATGACTTAGAGAAATGTTAATGCAGTTTTTCCAAATTTGGCCCGCTGAATTAAAAAAAAAAAAAAGTA